CTCTCACACTACCATTGTGACTCCCAGTGTATAGGAGTGATGTAGTCTCTCACACTATCAATGTGACTCCCAGTGTGTAGGAGTGATGTAGTCTCTGACACTTCCATTTGTGACCCTCAGTGTGTAGGAGTGATGTAGTCTCTCACTCTACCATTGTGACTCCCCAGTGTGTAGGAGTGATGTAGTCTCTCACACTTCCAATGTGACTCCCACCGTGTAGGAGTGATGTAGTCTCTCACACTACCATTGTGACTCCCAGTGTGTAGGAGTGATGTAGTCTCTCACACTTCCAATGTGACTCCCAGTGTGTAGGAGTGATGTAGTCTCTCACACTACCATTGTGACTCCCAGCGTGTAGGAGTGATGTAGTCTCTCACACTACCAATGTGACTCCCAGTGTGTAGGAGTGATGTCTCTGACACTACCAATGTGACTCCCAGTGTGAAGGAGTGATGTAGTCTCTGAGACTACCATTGTGACTCCCCAGTGTGTAGGAGTGATGTAGTCTCTCACACTATCAATGTGACTCCCAGTGTGTAGGAGTGATGTAGTCTCTGACACTTCCATTGTGACCCTCAGTGTGTAGGAGTGATGTAGTCTCTGACACTACCATTGTGACTCCCAGTGTGTAAGAGTGATGTAGTCTCTCACACTACCAATGTGACTCCCAGTGTGTAAGAGTGATGTAGTCTCTCACACTTCCCATTGTGACTCCCCAGTGTGTAGGAGTGATGTAGTCTCTCACACTACCATTGTGACTCCCAGTGTGTAGGAGTGATGTAGTCTCTCACACTACCATTGTGACTCCCCAGTGTGTAGGAGTGATGTAGTCTCTCACACTACCATTGTGACTCCCCAGTGTGTAGGAGTGATGTAGTCTCTCACACTACCATTGTGACTCCCAGTGTGTAGGAGTGATGTAGTCTCTGACACTACCAATGTGACCCTCAGTGTGTAGGAGTGATGTAGTCTCTCACACTTACCATTGTGACTCCCAGTGTGTAGGAGTGATGTAGTCTCTCACACTACCATTGTGACTCCCAGTGTGTAGGAGTGATGTAGTCTCTCACACTACCATTGTGACTCCCAGTGTGTAGGAGTGATGTAGTCTCTCACACTAACAATGTGACTCCCAGTGTGTAGGAGTGATGTAGTCTCTCACACTACCCTTGTGACTCCCAGTGTGTAGGAGTGATGTAGTCTCTCACACTACCAATGTGACTCCCAGTGTGTAGGAGTGATGTAGTCTCTCACACTACCCTTGTGACTCCCAGTGTGTAGGAGTGATGTAGTCTCTGACACTTCCATTGTGACCCTCAGTGTGTAGGAGTGATGTAGTCTCTCACACTACCATTGTGACTCCCAGTGTGTAGGGGTGATGTAGTCTCTCACACTACCATTGTGACCCACTAGTGTGTAGGAGTGATGTAGTCTCTCACACTACCATTGTGACTCCCAGTGTGTAGGAGTGATGTAGTCTCCCACACTACCAATGTGACTCCCAGTGTGTAGGAGTGATGTAGTCTCTGACACTTCCATTGTGACCCTCAGTGTGTAGGAGTGATGTAGTCTCTCACACTACCATTGTGACTCCCAGTGTGTAGGAGTGATGTAGTCTCTCACACTACCATTGTGACTCCCAGTGTGTAGGAGTGATGTAGTCTCTCACACTACCATTGTGACTCCCAGTGTGTAGGAGTGATGTAGTCTCTCACACTACCATTGTGACTCCCAGTGTGTAGGAGTGATGTAGTCTCTCACACTATCAATGTGACTCCCCAGTGTGTAGGAGTGATGTAGTCTCTCACACTACCATTGTCACTCCCCAGTGTGTAGGAGTGATGTAGTCTCTCACACTAACAATGTGACTTCCAGTGTGTAGGAGTGATGTAGTCTCTCACACTACCATTGTGACTCCCAGTGTGTAGGAGTGATGTAGTCTCTCACACTACCATTGTGACTCCCAGTGTGTAGGAGTGATGTCTCTGACACTACCAATGTGACCCTCAGCGTGTAGGAGTGATGTAGTCTCTCACACTACCATTGTGACTCCCAGTGTGTAGGAGTGATGTAGTCTCTCACACTACCATTGTGACTCCCAGCGTGTAGGAGTGATGTAGTCTCTCACACTACCATTGTGACTCCCCAGTGTGTAGGAGTGATGTAGTCTCTCACACTACCATTGTGACTCCCCAGTGTGTAGGAGTGATGTAGTCTCTCACACTACCATTGTGACTCCCAGTGTGTAGGAGTGATGTAGTCTCTCACACTACCATTGTGACTCCCAGCGTGTAGGAGTGATGTAGTCTCTCACACTACCATTGTGACTCCCCAGTGTGTAAGAGTGATGTAGTCTCTCACACTACCATTGTGACTCCCCAGTGTGTAGGAGTGATGTAGTCTCTCACACTACCATTGTGACTCCCAGCGTGTAGGAGTGATGTAGTCTCTCACACTACCATTGTGACTCCCCAGTGTGTAGGAGTGATGTAGTCTCTCACACTACCCTTGTGACTCCCAGTGTGTAGGAGTGATGTAGTCTCTCACACTACCATTGTGACTCCCAGCGTGTAGGAGTGATGTAGTCTCTCACACTACCATTGTGACTCCCAGTGTGTAGGAGTGATGTAGTCTCTCACACTACCATTGTGACTCCCAGTGTGTAGGAGTGATGTAGTCTCTCACACTACCATTGTGACTCCCAGTGTGTAGGAGTGATGTAGTCTCTGTCACTACCATTGTGACTCCCAGCGTGTAGGAGTGATGTAGTCTCTGACACTTCCATTGTGACCCTCAGTGTGTAGGAGTGATGTAGTCTCTCACACTACCATTGTGACTCCCAGTGTGTAGGAGTGATGTAGTCTCTCACACTACCATTGTGACTCCCAGCGTGTAGGAGTGATGTAGTCTCTCACACTACCCTTGTGACTCCCAGCGTGTAGGAGTGATGTAGTCTCTCACACTACCATTGTGACTCGACAGTGTGTAGGAGTGATGTAGTCTCTGTCACTACCATTGTGACTCCCCAGCGTGTAGGAGTGATGTAGTCTCTGACACTACCATTGTGACTCCCAGTGTGTAGGAGTGATGTAGTCTCTCACACTACCATTGTGACTCCCACCGTGTAGGAGTGATGTAGTCTCTCACACTACCATTGTGACTCCCACCGTGTAGGAGTGATGTAGTCTCTCACACTACCAATGTGACTCCCAGTGTGTAGGAGTGATGTAGTCTCTGACACTTCCATTGTGACCCTCAGTGTGTAGGAGTGATGTAGTCTCTCACACTACCATTGTGACTCCCAGTGTGTAGGAGTGATGTAGTCTCTCACACTATCAATGTGACTCCCAGCGTGTAGGAGTGATGTAGTCTCTGACACTACCATTGTGACTCCCAGTGTGTAGGAGTGATGTAGTCTCTCACACTACCATTGTGACTCCCAGCGTGTAGGAGTGATGTAGTCTCTCACACTTCCAATGTGACTCCCAGCGTGTAGGAGTGATGTAGTCTCTGACACTTCCATTGTGACCCTCAGTGTGTAGGAGTGATGTAGTCTCTCACACTTCCAATGTGACTCCCAGCGTGTAGGAGTGATGTAGTCTCTCACACTTCCAATGTGACTCCCAGCGTGTAGGAGTGATGTAGTCTCTCACACTACCATTGTGACTCTCAGTGTGTAGGAGTGATGTAGTCTCTCACACTTCCAATGTGACTCCCACCGTGTAGGAGTGATGTAGTCTCTCACACTACCATTGTGACTCTCAGTGTGTAGGAGTGATGTAGTCTCTCACACTACCATTGTGACTCTCAGTGTGTAGGAGTGATGTAGTCTCTCACACTACCAATGTGACTCCCCAGTGTGTAGGAGTGATGTAGTCTCTCACACTACCATTGTGACTCCCAGTGTAGGAGTGATGTAGTCTCTGACACTAACATTGTGACCCCTCAGTGTGTAGGAGTGATGTAGTCTCTCACACTACCATTGTGACTCCCAGTGTAGGAGTGATGTAGTCTCTGACACTAACATTGTGACTCCCAGTGTAGGAGTGATGTAGTCTCTGACACTACCATTGTGACTCCCCAGTGTGTAGGAGTGATGTAGTCTCTCACACTACCATTGTGACTCCCAGTGTGTAGGAGTGATGTAGTCCCTCACACTATCAATGTGACTCCCCAGTGTGTAGGAGTGATGTAGTCTCTCACACTACCAATGTGACTCCCAGTGTGTAGGAGTGATGTAGTCTCTGACACTTCCATTGTGACCCTCAGTGTGTAGGAGTGATGTAGTCTCTCACACTACCATTGTGACTCCCAGTGTGTAGGAGTGATGTAGTCTCTGACACTTCCATTGTGACCCTCAGTGTGTAGGAGTGATGTAGTCTCTCACACTACCATTGTGACCCTCAGTGTGTAGGAGTGATGTAGTCTCTCACACTACCATTGTGACCCTCAGTGTGTAGGAGTGATGTAGTCTCTCACACTACCATTGTGACTCCCAGTGTGTAGGAGTGATGTAGTCTCTCACACTACCAATGTGACTCCCAGCGTGTAGGAGTGATGTAGTCTCTGACACTTCCATTGTGACCCTCAGTGTGTAGGAGTGATGTAGTCTCTCACACTACCAATGTGACTCCTAGTGTGTAGGAGTGATGTAGTCTCTCACACTACCATTGTGACCCTCAGTGTGTAGGAGTGATGTAGTCTCTCACACTTCCAATGTGACTCCCAGTGTGTAGGAGTGATGTAGTCTCTCACACTTCCATTGTGACCCTCAGCGTGTAGGAGTGATGTAGTCTCTCACACTACCATTGTGACTCCCCAGTGTGTAGGAGTGATGTAGTCTCTGACACTTCCATTGTGACCCTCAGTGTGTAGGAGTGATGTAGTCTCTCACACTACCATTGTGACTCCCCAGTGTGTAGGAGTGATGTAGTCTCTCACACGGCCACCGTGAATCCGTCAGCATTTGTCCCTCCTTGACCGGATTTCCACTGTGGCAGCCTGCGCCTGGCCCTGTACCAGCACTGGTCGCTGTTTGAGTCGCTGTGCCACTCACTGTACTCGTACGCCGGCCTCAGACTCTGGTCCCTGCACGGGCACAAGAGGCTCCACGCCCTGCTCGCAGACATGGGGTGAGTGGCGGGGTCAGGGAGTGTGGCGCAGGGAGTGTGACGGAGTGGTGGTGGTGGTGGTCCGTGTGAGTGAGTGTGTGTGTGAGTGGTAGTGTGTGTGAGTGTGGTAGTGTGTGTTAGTGAGTGTGGTAGTGTGTGTTAGTGTGGTAGTGAGTGTGGTAGTGTGTTAGTGTGGTAGTGTGTGTAAGTGTGTGTGAGTGTGGTAGTGTGTGTGGTAGTGTGAGTGTGTGAGTGTGGTAGTGAGTGTGGTAGTGTGTGTGAGTGTGGTATTGAGTGTGGTATTGAGTGTGGTATTGAGTGTGGTAGTGAGTGTGGTAGTGTGTGTGGTAGTGTGTGGTAGAGTGTGGTAGTGTGTGGTAGTGTGTGGTAGTGAGTGTGTGTTAGTGTGGTAGTGTGTGTGGTAGTGTGTGTGGTAGTGAGTGTGGTAGTGTGTGTGGTAGTGTGTGTGTGTGGTAGTGTGTGGTAGTGAGTGTTAGTGTGTGTGAGTGAGTGTGGTAGTGTGTGTTAGTGTGGTAGTGTGTGTGAGTGTATGAAGGGGTCTGAGTTAGTGTATGGAGGGAGTGTGAGTGAGTGAGTGTGGTAGTGTGTGTGTGTGGCAGTGTGGTAGTGTGTGTGTGGTTGTGAGTTTGGTAGTGTGAGTGAGTGTGGGTGTGGTAGTGTGTGGTAGTGTGTGTGAGTGTGAGTAAGTTTGGTAGTGTGTTTGAGTGAGTGTGGTAGTGTGACTGTGGTAGTGTGTGTGAGTGTGTGTGTGAGTGAGTGTGGTAGTGTGAGTGAGTGTTAGTGTGGTAGTGTGTGTGTGAGTGTGTGTGTGAGTGAGTGTGAGTGAGTGTGGTAGTGTGAGTGAGTGTTACTGTGGTAGTGTGTGTGAGTGAGTGTGAGTGTGAAAGATCTGGGCAAGGTTCCATCGGTGAGCTCCTCTGGCAGGCAAGTCTGCGATGGCTGGGTCAAGTAGCCCGCATGCCCAGCCACCGCATGCCGAAACAGCTTTTGTTCGGCCGGATCGAGGGGGCTAAATGGGCGCGGCACGGGCTAGAGAAGAGATGGAGTGATGTGGTACAGGAGGACGTGGAGCTGAGTGGACTTGCCGATGACTGGTGCCAGCGGTGTCAAGATCGGCCTCTGTGGAGGAGGCTCGTGAAGGACGCTATTGGGCAGTTGGAGGCAGTCGCCCTCCAACAACAACGGAGGGCGGAGGAGCGACGCTCACAACAACGAGCGGAGCGCCGGGTGGCTAAAGCACAGCAGGTTGGCACAGTAGGGGGCACAGGTGGTGCATCAGCCAGTCATCTCAGTCAGTCGACCCGTGGCACCTGGGTCTGCCCCGTGACCTCCTGCCAGCGGGCGTTCGACACTTCACGTGGCCTCAAGGTGCATATGGCCTGGCACAAGCGTTGTGGTGATGTTACCGCCACTTAGTGGCGAATGGCGGTTGTTGTTGTATGAGGGAGTGTGAGTGAGTGTATGAGGCAGCGTGTGCCGAGGGGAAATGGGCGAGGTTTAGGACTGTCACTCATGCAGCTGCAATGGCTGCTTTGGGTACACGGTCCAGACCTCCACAGAGACCCTGGGTGACAGAGGAGGTGTTCAGGCTGGCTGAGAAAAAGTGACAGGCCCACTGTCATCGTCTACAGCATGCCACGTCGGAGAATGAGGAGGCTTACTACCAAGAGAGATGGAGTCTGCCTCAGTAGCCCGCGATCACAAATCACTCTTTAGCTCCATCAAAATAGTAACTTGCAGCGCCACACCGATCGCCGTCATTAGGGGAAATAACGGTGATCTGCTCTACGACCCCCAGGAACAGGTTTGCAAATTTGCTGAGCATTTGTGTGAGGTCTTGGGAGAGGGGAAATACCTCAGCCAGGAAAGCATCATGGGGCAAAGTGGGGATGACCCTGCTGAGGCTGCTGTGCCTCAAATATTGGAAGAAGAAGTCACCCCCTGTGAGTGGCTGGCTGAAGTATCATCTGTTGAGGAAGTACTTAAGGCGATCCAGAGTCTGAGACCAAGAAAGTCACCGGGCAGAGATGATCTCCCAAGCGAAATGCTGAGGGAGGGTGGCGTTTGTGCAGACTGCCCTATATGACATCATAACAACAGTCTGGACCACTGAATGGGTGCCGCAGGATTGTACGGATGCCCTGGTGGTCCCCCTCTTTAAGAAGGGGGACCGCACAGACTGTAACAACTACAGGGGCATCTCACTCCTCAATGTGCCGGGAAAGATCCTGGCAAGGATTATTCAAAATCGCCTTTACAGGCACGCTGAGGAGAGGCTTGCGGAGCCCCAATGCGGTTTCAGGAAAGGGCGGTCCTGCACAGATGCCATATTTTCTGTCCGTCTGCTACAGCAGAGGTGTAGGGAATTCCAACAAGACCTACATCTCTGCTTTATTGACCTGGTCAAGGCCTATGATACCATCAGTAGGCCTGGGCTCTGGGTTGTTCTTTGTTCTTTCGGAGTCCCTGACTCTGCTCACGATCATTAAGGACCTTCATGATGGTGAGCGGGCCCCGGGTAAAACTACGTGGCCGGGAGTTGGAGCCATTCCCGGTTCACCTTGGGGTGCGACAGGGATGCCCTCTGGCTCCCACATTATTGAACATCATCTTTGACCACGTGGTTCTAGAAGCTTTGCATGGCCGTACCGGAGGAATTTCCATCTGGTATAGATACAATGGGAGGCTGATCGATGCCCGGATGTGGTCAAGAGATGGTTCCCTATTGGTCAACCATTTTAAGTATGCCGATGAACTGGTGATTGCTGCTCACTCAGAGGAGGAGTTGGAGGCGCTGCTGCTGAGACTGGAGCGTGCCACTAAGAGGTGGGGCCTTACCATCAGCCCCACCAAAACTAAGCACCTGCCTGGGTATTTTGTGCCAACAGACACTCCACTCCCACAACTTCCAATTGGTAATGGGGTAGTTTTGGAGATTGTGGAGAGTTTCCCATACCTGGGCAGCGTGCTTATGACCGGTTCCGGTAGGTAGTGTGTGTGTGTGTAGGTACGTACGTAGTGTGTATAGTATATGTATGTGTGAGTACATACTGTATGTGTACATAGTGTGTGTGTAGTGTATGTATATTGTGTGTGTGTGTACGTAATGTGCGTAGTGTAGGTATGTCGTGTGTGTGTGGAGTGTGTACGTACTGTGTATGTGTAGTGTATGTACGTAATGTGTGCGTACGTACTGTGTGTGTACGCACTGTGTGTGTAGTGTATGTGTAGCATATGTATGTAGTGTGTGTGTACGTACTGTGCGTGTACGTACTGTACGTGTACGTACTTTGTGTGTACGTACTGTGTGTGTGTGTAGTGTATGTGTGTAGTGTATGTATGTAGTGTGTGTGTGTACATAATGTGCGTAGTGTATGTATGTCGTGTGTATGTGTAGTATATGTATGTAGTGTGTATGTGTAGTGTATGTACGTAATGTGTGCGTACTGCCTGTGTGTGTACGTAGTGTGTGTGTGTAGTGTATGTGCAGCGTATGTATGGAGTGTGTGTGTACGTACTGTGTACGTAATGTGAGTGTGCGTAGTGTGTGTATGTCGTGTGCGTAGTGTATGTACGTAATGTGTGTGTACATACTGTGTGTGTGCGCGTGTGTGTGTAGTGTATGTACGTAATGTGTGCGTGCGTACTGTGTGTGTGTGTGCGTAGTGTATGTATGTCGTGTGTGTGTGGAGTGTATGTATGTAGTGTGTGTGTAGTGTATGTGAAGTGTATATACGTAATGTGTGCGTACGTACTGTGTGTGTGTATGTCTTGTGTGTGGAGTGTATGTATGTAGTGTGTGTGTGTAGTAGTGTGTAGTGTATGTACGTACTGTGTGTGTGTATGTATGTCTTGTGTGTGGAGTGTATGTATGTAGTGTGTGTGTGTAGTAGTGTGTATGTGTATGTATGTAATGTGTGTGTGTGTGTAGTAGTGTGTAGTGTATGTATGTAGTGTGTGTGTGTAGTAGTGTGTAGTGTATGTATGTACTGTGTGTGTGTGTATGTATGTCTTGTGTGTGGAGTGTATGTATGTAGTGTGTGTGTGTAGTAGTGTGTATGTGTATGTATGTAATGTGTGTGTGTGTGTGCGTAGTGTATGTATGTCGTGTGTGTGTGGAGTGTATGTATGTAGTGTGTATGTGTGGTGTATGTGAAGTGTGTCTACGTAATGTGTGCGTACGTACTGTGTGTGTGTGTGTATGTATGTCTTGTGTGTGGAGTGTATGTATGTAGTGTGTGTGTGTAGTAGTGTGTAGTGTATGTATGTAATGTGTGTGTGTGTGTGTGTATGTATGTCTTGTGTGTGGAGTGTATGTATGTAGTGTGTGTGTGTAGTAGTGTGTAGTGTATGTATGTAATGTGTGTGTGTGTATGTATGTCTTGTGTGTGGAGTGTATGTATGTAGTGTGTGTGTGTGTAGTAGTGTGTAGTGTATGTACGTACTGTGTGTGTGTATGTATGTCTTGTGTGTGGAGTGTGTGTATGTAGTGTGTGTGTGTAGTAGTGTGTATGTGTATGTATGTAATGTGTGTGTGTGTGTAGTAGTGTGTAGTGTATGTATGTAGTGTGTGTGTGTAGTAGTGTGTAGTGTATGTATGTACTGTGTGTGTGTATGTATGTCTTGTGTGTGGAGTGTATGTATGTAGTGTGTGTGTGTAGTAGTGTGTATGTGTATGTATGTAATGTGTGTGTGTGTGTAGTAGTGTGTAGTGTATGTATGTAGTGTGTGTGTGTAGTAGTGTGTAGTGTATGTATGTACTGTGTGTGTGTATGTATGTCTTGTGTGTGGAGTGTATGTATGTAGTGTGTGTGTGTAGTAGTGTGTATGTGTATGTATGTAATGTGTGTGTGTGTGTAGTAGTGTGTAGTGTATGTATGTAGTGTGTGTGTGTAGTGTATGTATGTAATGTGTGTGTGTGTGTGTGGAGTGTATGTATGTAGTGTGTATGTGTGGTGTATGTGAAGTGTGTCTACGTAATGTGTGCGTACGTACTGTGTGTGTGTGTGTATGTCTTGTGTGTGGAGTGTATGTATGTAGTGTGTGTGTGTAGTGTATGTATGTAGTGTGTGTGTGTGTAGTAGTGTGTATGTGTAGTGTATGTATGTAGTGTGTGTGTGTAGTAGTGTGTGTGTGTAGTGTATGTATGTAGTGTGTGTGTGTAGTAGTGTGTGTGTGTAGTGTATGTATGTAGTGTGTGTGTGTAGTAGTGTGTGTGTGTAGTGTATGTATGTAGTGTGTGTGTGTAGTAGTGTGTGTGTGGAGTGTATGTATGTAGTGTGTGTGTGTAGTAGTGTGTATGTGTATGTATGTAATGTGTGTGTGTGTGTAGTAGTGTGTGTGTGTATGTATGTATGTAATGTGTGTAGTAGTGTGTAGTGTATGTATGTACTGTGTGTGTGTGTATGTATGTCTTGTGTGTGGAGTGTATGTATGTAGTGTGTGTGTGTAGTAGTGTGTAGTGTATGTATGTAATGTGTGTGTGTGTGTGTAGTAGTGTGTAGTGTATGTATGTAGTGTGTGTGTGTGTAGTAGTGTGTATGTGTAGTGTATGTATGTAATGTGTGTGTGTGTGTGTAGTAGTGTGTAGTGTATGTACGTACTGTGTGTGTATGTATGTCTTGTGTGTGGAGTGTATGTATGTAGTGTGTGTGTGTAGTAGTGTGTATGTATGTAATGTGTGTGTGTGTGTGCCCCCAGTCTGCCACTGAAGCAGGTGAAGCAGAAGTTCCAGTGCATGGACGTGAAGCTGAAGGAGAACCTCCTGGCTGCCATCGATGAGTCGGCCACCAAGTTTGGGTAGCTACGCTAATACACTACACTATACACTACTACTCTATACACTACTACACTACACACTATACACTACTACACTACACACTACTACACTATACACTACTACACTATACACTACTACACTATACACTACTACACTATACACTACTACTCTATACACTACTACACTACACACTACTACACTACACACTATACACTACTACACTATACACTACACTATACACTACTACTCTATACACTACTACACTATACACTACTACACTACACACTACTACACTATACACTACTACACTATATACTACTACACTATATACTACTACTCTATACACTACTACACTATACTATACACTACTACACTATACACTACTACACTACACTACACACTACTACACTATACACTACTACACTATACACTACTACACTATACTATACACTACTACACTACACACTACTACACTATACACTACTACACTACACACTACTACACTACACTACACACTACTACACTACACACTACTACACTATGCACTACTACACTACACACTACTACACTATACACTACTACACTATACTATACACTACTACACTATACACTACTACACTATACACTGGTACACTATACACTACTACACTATACACTACTACACTATACACTACACTAAACACTACTACACTATACACTACTACACTATACACTACTACACTATACACTACTACACTATACACTACTACACTATACACTACTACACTACACACTACTACACTATACACTACTACACTATACTATACACTACTACACTACACACTACTACACTATACACTACTACACTACACACTACTACACTACACTACACACTACTACACTACACACTACTACACTATGCACTACTACACTACACACTACTACACTATACACTACTACACTATACTATACACTACTACACTATACTATACACTACTACACTATACACTACTACACTATACACTGGTACACTATACACTACTACACTATACACTACTACACTATACACTACACTAAACACTACTACACTATACACTACTACACTATACACTACTACACTATACACTACTACACTATACACTACTACACTATACACTACTACACTACACTACTACACTACACACTACTACACTATACACTACTACACTATACACTACTACACTACACATTACTACACTATACACTACTACACTATATACTACTACACTATATACTACTACACTATACACTACTACACTATACTATACACTACTACACTATACACTACTACACTACACACTACTACACTATACACTACTACACTACACTCTACACTACTACACTACAATACTACACTATACACTACTACACTACACACTACTACACTATACACTACACTATACACTACTACACTATACACTACTACACTACACTATACACTACTACACTATACACTACTACACTACACTACACACTACTACACTATACACTACTACACTATACTATACACTACTACACTATACACTACTACACTATACACTACTACACTACAATACTACACTACACACTATACTATACACTACTACACTATACACTACTACACTACAATACTACACTATACACTACTACACTACACACTACTACACTATACACTACACTATGCACTACTACACTATACACTACTACACTACACTATACACTACTACACTATACACTACTACACTATACACTACTACACTACACACTACTACACTACTACACTATACACTACAACACTATACACTACTACGCTAATACATTACACTACACACTACTACACCACACTACACACTACTACACTATACACTACTACACTACACTACTACACTACACACTACTGCACTATACACTACTACTACACTACTACCACTACCCTACACTACCACTACTACACTACTACCACTACACTACTACTACACTACTACTACACTACTACTACACTACTACTACACTACTACTACACTACACTATACACTACTACACTACACACTACTACACTACACACTACTACTCTACACTACTACCACTACTACACTATACACTACTACACTATACACTACAACACTATACACTACTATGCTAATACATTACACTACACACTACTACACCACACTACACACTACTACACTATACACTACTACACTACACTACTACACTACACACTACTGCACTATACACTACTACTACACTACTACACTACTACCACTACCCTACACTACCACTACTACACTATACACTACTACATCACTACTACACTACACTACTACCACTACCCTACACTACTACCACTACTACACTACTACCACTACACTACTACTACACTACTACACTACTACTACACTACACTACACTATACACTACTACACTACACACTACTACTCTACACTACTACCACTACTACACTATACACTACTACACTACACTACTACACTACTACCACTACTACACTATACACTACTACACTACACACTACTACACTATACACTACTACACTATACACTACAACACTATACACTACTACGCTAATACATTACACTACACACTACTACACCACACTACACACTACTACACTATACACTACTACACTACACTACTACACTACACACTACTGCACTATACACTACTACTACACTACTACCACTACCCTACACTACCACTACTACACTATACACTACTACATCACTACTACACTACACTACTACCACTACCCTACACTACTACCACTACTACACTACTACCACTACACTACTACTACACTATACACTACTACACTACACACTACTACTCTACACTACTACCACTACTACACTATACACTACTACACTACACTACTACACTACACTACTACACTACTACCACTACTACACTATACACTACTACACTACACACTACTACACTACTACACTACTACTACACTATACACTACTACACTACACTACTACACTACACACTACTACACTACTACTACACTATACACTACTACACTACACTACTACACTACACACTACTACACTACACACTACTTCACTACACACTACTTCACTATACACTACTACTACACACTACACTATACACTACTACCCTACACTATACACTACTACACTACTACTGCACCGCTACACTCCGCTGTGTGTGTGTGTGCCAGTATGGGGGACATGCGTGTGCAGACTTTCTGCGCCGAGTTTGGCTTCCGCTCGCGCTTCCTGGCTGGGGACGTCGCCCTCGCGGTCGCCGCTCTCGCGGCCTCCACGACCCCCGACCCCGAACACCCTGGGGGAGGGGCAGGGGGGGGAGCCATCGCTGCCCTACACTCACTCTCCAGGTACGGCACCTGTGTCTGTCTCTCTCACCTGTGTCTCTCACCTGTGTCTCTCTCTCACCTGTGTCTCTCTCTCACCTGTGTCTCTCTCTCACCTGTGTCTCTCACCTGTCTCTCTCTCACCTGTCTCTCTCACCTGTGTCTCTCTCTCTCACCTCCTGTCTCTCTCACCTGTGTCTCTCACCTGTGTCTCTCACCTGTGTCTCTCTCTCACCTGTCTCTCTCTCACCTGTGTGTCTCTCACCTGTCTCTCTCACCTCCTGTCTCTCTCACCTGTGTCTCTCTCACCTGTGTCTCTCACCTGTGTCTCTCACCTGTGTCTCTCTCACCTGTGTCTCTCTCACCTGTGTCTCTCACCTGTGTCTCTCACCTGTGTCTCTCTCTCACCTGTGTCTCTCACCTGTGTCTCTCACCACCTGTGTCTCTCTCTCACCTGTGTCTCTCACCTGTGTCTCTCTCACCTGTGTCTCTCACCTGTGTCTCTCACCTGTGTCTCTCACCTGTGTCTCTCACCTGTGTCTCTCTCTCACCTGTCTCTCTCTCACCTGTGTCTGTCTCTCACCTGTGTCTCTCACCTGTGTCTCTCTCACCTGTGTCTCTCACCTGTGTCTCTCACCTGTGTCTCTCACCTGTCTCTCTCTCACCTGTGTCTCTCTCACCTGTGTCTCTCACCACCTGTGTCTCTCTCTCACCTGTGTCTCTCACCTGTGTCTCTCTCTCACCTGTGTCTCTCTCACCTGTCTCTCTCACCTGTGCCTCTCTCACCTGTCTCTCTCACCTGTCTCTCTCACCTGTGTCTCTCTCACCTCCTGTCTCTCTCTCACCTGTCTCTCTCACCTGTGTCTCTCTCATCTCCTGTGTCTCTCACCTGTGTCTCTCTCTCACCTGTGTCTCTCTCTCACCTGTCTCTCTCACCTGTGTCTCTCTCTCACCTGTCTCTCTCACCTGTGTCTCTCACCACCTGTGTCTCTCTCACCTGTGCCTCTCTCACCTGTGTCTCTCTCACCACCTGTGTCTCTCTCACCTGTGTCTCTCACCTGTGTCTCTCTCACCTGTGTCTCTCTCACCTGTGTCTCTCACCTGTGTCTCTCTCACCTGTGTCTCTCACCTGTGTCTCTCACCTGTGTCTCTCTCTCACCTGTGTCTCTCTCACCTGTGTCTCTCTCACCTGTCTCTCTCACCTGTGTCTCTCTCACCTCCTGTCTCTCTCTCACCTGTCTCTCTCACCTGTGTCTCTCTCATCTCCTGTGTCTCTCACCTGTGTCTCTCTCTCACCTGTGTCTCTCTCTCACCTGTCTCTCTCTCACCTGTCTCTCTCACCTGTGTCTCTCTCTCACCTGTCTCTCTCACCTGTGTCTCTCACCACCTGTGTCTCTCTCACCTGTGCCTCTCTCACCTGTGTCTCTCTCACCACCTGTGTCTCTCTCACCTGTGTCTCTCACCTGTGTCTCTCTCACCTGTGTCTCTCACCTGTGTCTCTCACCTGTGTCTCTCTCACCTGTGTCTCTCACCTGTGTCTCTCTCACCTGTGTCTCTCACCACCTGTGTCTCTCTCACCTGTGCCTCTCTCACCTGTGTCTCTCTCACCTGTGCCTCTCTCACCTGTGTCTCTCTCACCACCTGTGTCTCTCTCTCACCTGTCTCTCTCACCTGTGTCTCTCTCATCTCCTGTGTCTCTCACCTGTGTCTCTCTCTCACCTGTGTCTCTCTCTCACCTGTCTCTCTCACCTGTCTCTCTCTCTCACCTGTCTCTCTCTCACCTGTCTCTCTCTCACCTGTCTCTCTCACCTGTGTCTCTCACCACCTGTGTCTCTCTCACCTGTGCCTCTCTCACCTGTGTCTCTCTCACCACCTGTGTCTCTCTCACCTGTGTCTCTCACCTGTGTCTCTCTCCCCTCCTGTGTCTCTCTCCCCCCCTCACCCCCCACCCCCCACGTCTTCCCCCTGTGTCTCCCCACGTGTCGTTATGTCTCCGTGCCTCACCGCGTCTCACCGAGCCTCTGCGTGTCTCACTGTGTCTCTCCGTGTCTCACCGTGTCTCTCCGTGTCTCACCGTGTCTCTCCGTGTCTCACCGTGTCTCACCGTGTCTCTCCGTGTCTCACCGTGTCTCACTGCGTGTCTCCCCGTGTCTCCCCGTGTCTCTCCGTGTCTCACCGTGTCTCACCGTATCTCACCGTGTCTCACCGTGTCTCACCGTCTCTCACCATGTCTCACTGCGTGTCTCACTGCGTGTCTCCCCGTGTCTCCCCGTGTCTCACCGTGTCTCTCCGTGTCTCACCGTGTCTCACTGCGTGTCTCACTGCGTGTCTCCCCGCGTGTCTCCCAGCGTGTCTCCCCGCGTGTCTCCCCGCGTGTCTCCCCGCGTGTCACCGAATCTCACCGTGTCTCCCCGCGTGTCTCCCCGCGTGTCTCCCCGCGTGTCACCGAATCTCACCGTGTCTCCCCGCGTGTCTCCCCCCCTGTCTCCCGGTGTCTCCCCGTGTCTCCACGCGTGTCTCCCCGTGTCTCCCCGTGTCTCCCCGTGTCTCCGCGTGTCTCCCCGCGTGTCTCCCCGTGTCCTACCGTGTCTCCCCGTGTCTCCCCGTGTCTCCCCGTGTCTCCCCCGTGTCTCCCCGTGTCTCCCCGTGTCTCCCCGTGTCTCCCCCGTGTCTCCCCGTGTCTCCCCCCCTGTCTCACTGTGTCTCCCCGTGTCTCCCCCCCCCGCCTCTCTCCGTGTCTCCGCGCAGGGGCAACGTGTCTCTGCTGCTGCGTGGCGTGGAGCAGGCCAAGCGGCAGCTGTGCAGCCTGCACGAGGCCGTGACGTCGTGCGTGGGCACCGGCCGCGTCGTCTCGCAGGGTCCCTTCCTCTACTGCTGCCTGCACGAGGTATCAGCCCTGTCTCTCTGTGTTGTCTCACTGTGTCTCTGTGTCTCTCTGTGTTGTCTCTCTGTGTCTCACTGTCTCACTGTGTCTCTGTGGCTCACTGTGTCTCTCTGTGTTGTCTCTGTGTCTCTCTGTGTCTCACTGTGTCTCTCGTCTCGCAGGGTCCCTTCCTCTACTGCTGCCTGCACGAGGTATCAACCCTGTCTCTAGCTGTGTCTCTCTGTGTTGTCTCTCTGTGTCTCTCTGTTGTGTCTCACTGTGTCTCTCGTCTCGCAGGGTCCCTTCCTCTACTGCTGCCTGCACGAGGTATCAACCCGTCTCTAGCTGTGTCTCTCTGTCTCTCTGTGTGTGTCTCTAGCTGTGTCTCTCTGTGTCTCTCGTGTCGCAGGGTCCCTTCCTCTACTGCTGCCTGCACGAGGTATCAACCCTGTCTCTCTGTGTTGTCTCTCTGTGTTGTCTCTGTGTCTCTCTGTGTTGTCTCTCTGTGTCTCACTGTCTCACTGTGTCTCTGTGTCTCTCGTCTCGCAGGGTCCCTTCCTCTACTGCTGCCTGCACGAGGTATCAACCCTGTCTCTCTCGCTGTGTCTCACTGTGTTGTCTCTGTGTCTCTCTGTGTCTCTAGCTGTGTCTCTCTGTGTTGTCTCTGTGTCTCTCTGTGTTGTGTCTCACTGTGTCTCACTGTTGTCTCTCTGTGTCTCTCTGTGTCTCTGTGTCTCTCTGTGTCTCTCTGTGTCTCACTGTGTCTCTCGTCTCGCAGGGTCCCTTCCTCTACTGCTGCCTGCACGAGGTATCAACCCTGTCTCTCTGTGTTGTCTCACTGTGTTGTCTCTGTGTCTCTCTGTGTCTCACTGTGTCTCTCGCTGTGTCTCACTGTGTCTCTGTGTCTCACTGTGTCTCTCTGTGTCTCTCGTGTCGCAGGGTCCCTTCCTCTACTGCTGCCTGCACGAGGTATCAACCCTGTCTATAGCTGTTGTCTCTCTGTGTTGTCTCTCTGTCTCTCTGTGTCTCTGTGTCTCTCTGTGTCTCTCGTGTCGCAGGGTCCCTTCCTCTACTGCTGCCTGCACGAGGTATCAGCCCTGTCTCTAGCTGTGTCTCTCTGTGTTGTCTCTCTGTGTCTCTCTGTTGTGTCTCTCTGTGTCTCACTGTCTCTCGCTGTTGTCTCACTGTCTCACTGTCTCTCTGTGTCTCTCGTGTCGCAGGGTCCCTTCCTCTACTGCTGCCTGCACGAGGTATCAACCCGTCTCTCTCGCTGTTGTCTCTCTGTGTCTCACTGTCTCACTGTTGTGTCTCTCTGTGTCTCTCTGTGTCTCTCGCTGTCTCACTGTGTCTCTCGTCTCGCAGGGTCCCTTCCTCTACTGCTGCCTGCACGAGGTATCTGCCCTGTCTCTAGCTGTTGTCTCACTGTGTCTCTGTGTCTCTCTGTTGTGTCTCTCTGTGTTGTCTCTCTGTGTCTCACTGTGTCACTGTCTCTCTGTGTCTCTGTGTCTCGCTGTTGTGTCTCTCTGTGTCTCGTGTCGCAGGGTCCCTTCCTCTACTGCTGCCTGCACGAGGTATCAACCCTGTCTCTCTAGCTGTGTCTCTCTGTGTTGTCTCTCTGTGTCACTGTGTCTCTCTGTGTCTCTCGTGTCACAGGGTCCCTTCCTCTACTGCTGCCTGCACGAGGTATCAACCCGTCTCTAGCTGTTGTCTCTCTGTGTTGTCTCTCTGTGTCACTGTGTCTCTCTGTGTCTCTCGTGTCACAGGGTCCCTTCCTCTACTGCTGCCTGCACGAGGTATCAGCCCTGTCTCTAGCTGTGTCTCTCTGTGTTGTCTCTCTGTGTCTCTCTGTGTTGTGTCTCACTGTGTCTCACTGTTGTCTCTCTGTGTCTCTGTGTCTCTCTGTGTCTCTCGTGTCGCAGGGTCCCTTCCTCTACTGCTGCCTGCACGAGGTATCAACCTGTCTCTCTGTGTTGTCTCTCTGTGTTGTCTCTGTGTCTCTGTGTGTCTCACTGTGTCTCTCGTCTCGCAGGGTCCCTTCCTCTACTGCTGCCTGCACGAGGTATCAACCCGTCTCTCTCGCTGTGTCTCTCTGTGTTGTCTCTGTGTCTCTCTGTGTCTCACTGTGTCTCTCGTCTCGCAGGGTCCCTTCCTCTACTGCTGCCTGCACGAGGTATCAACCCTGTCTCTAGCTGTGTCTCTCTGTGTTGTCTCGCTGTTGTCTCACTGTCTCTCTGTGTCTCTGTGTCTCTAGCTGTGTCTCTATGTGTCTCTCGTGTCGCAGGGTCCCTTCCTCTACTGCTGCCTGCACGAGGTATCAGCCCTGTCTCTCTGTGTTGTCTCTCTGTGTCTCTGTGTCTCTCTGTGTCTCTAGCTGTGTCTCTCTGTTGTGTCTAACTGTGTCTCGTGTCGCAGGGTCCCTTCCTCTACTGCTGCCTGCACGAGGTATCAACCCTGTCTCTCTCACTGTGTCTCTCTCTGTGTCTCTCTGTGTCTCACTGTGTCTCTCTGTGTCTCACTGTGTCTCAATGTGTCTCTCGTGTCGCAGGGTCCCTTCCTCTACTGCTGCCTGCACGAGGTATCAACCCTGTCTCTCTCGCTGTTGTCTCTCTGTGTTGTCTCGCTGTTGTCTCACTGTCTCTCTGTGTCTCTGTGTCTCTAGCTGTGTCTCTCTGTGTCTCTCGTGTCGCAGGGTCCCTTCCTCTACTGCTGCCTGCACGAGGTATCAGCCCTGTCTCTAGCTGTGTCTCTCTGTGTTGTCTCTGTGTCTCTCTGTGTCTGACTGTGTCTCACTGTGTCTCACTGTGTCTCTCTGTTGTGTCTCACTGTGTCTCTCGTCTCGCAGGGTCCCTTCCTCTACTGCTGCCTGCACGAGGTATCAACCCTGTCTCTAGCTGTTGTCTCTCTGTGTCTCACTGTCTCACTGTGTCTCTGTGTCTCTCTGTGTCTCACTGTCTCTCTGTGTCTCACTGTCTCTCGCTGTGTCTCTCGCTGTGTCTCACTGTGTCTCTCACTGTTGTCTCTCACTGTGTCTCTCACTGTGTCTCTCACTGTTGTCTCTCGCTGTTGTCTCTGGCTACGTCTCAGGGCCTCTGTGTGAGTGTGGTGGTGGTGCAGGGAGTCTACAGGGCCTCTGTGTGAGTGTGGTGGTGGTGCTGCAGGGAGTCTACAGGGCCTCTGTGTGACTGTGGTGCTGCAGGGAGTCTACAGGGCCTCTGTGTGAGTGTGGGAGTGGTGGTGCAGGGAGTCTGCAGGGCCTCTGTGTGAGTGTGGTGGTGGTGGTGCAGGGAGTCTACAGGGCCTCTGTGTGAGTGTGGTGGTGGTGCTGCAGGGAGTCTACAGGGCCTCTGTGTGAGTGTGGTGGTGGTGCTGCAGGGAGTCTACAGGGCCTCTGTGTGAGTGTGGTGGTGGTGCAGGGAGTCTACAGGGCCTCTGTGTGAGTGTGGTAGTGGTGGTGGTGCTGCAGGGAGTCTACAGGGCCTCTGTGTGAGTGTGGTGGTGCTGCAGGGAGTCTACAGGGCCTCTGAGTGAGTGTGGTGGTGGTGCTGCAGGGAGTCTACAGGGCCTCTGTGTGAGTGTGGTGGTGGTGGTGCAGGGAGTCTGCAGGGCCTCTGTGTGTCTGTGTGCAGGGCACGCCGGAGCTGGCCATGTTCTCTGAGCCCAGCTTCCTCTCTCAGTTCAGCAAACACCTCCTGCACACCTTCATCAAGTCGGTGAGTGGGGGCGCTGGGCGAGAGCGAGGGACGGGGTGTCACAGGGAGTGTGTGAGTGTGTGTGAGTGAGTGTGAGTGAGTGTGAGTGGGGGTGTCACAGGGTGTGTGTGTGAGTGGGGGTGTCACAGGGTGTGTGAGTGAGTGAGGGTGTGACAGGGTTTCACAGGGTGTCACAGGGTGTGTGTGTGAGTGAGTGTGAGAGGGGGTGTCACAGGGTGTGTGTGAGTGTGTGTGAGTGAGTGTGAGAGGGGGTGTCACAGGGTGTCACAGAGTGTGTGTGAGTGTGTGTGAGTGGGGGTGTCACAGGTTGTGTGAGTGAGGGTGTCACAGGGTGTCATAGGGTGTCACAGGGTGTGTGTGAGTGTGTGAGTGAGTGTGAGTGGGGGTGTCACAGGGTGTGTGTGAGTGTGTGTGTGACAGGGTGTGTGAGTGAGTGAGGGGGTGTCACAGGGTGTCACAGGGTGTCACAGGGTGTGTGAGTGAGTGTGAGTGTGTGTGAGTGGGGGTGTCACAGGGTGTCACAGGGTGTCACAGGGTGTATGTGAGTGTGTGTGTGACGGTGTGACAGGGTGTGTGAGTGAGTGGGGGTGTGAGAGGGTGTGACAGGGTGTGTGACGGTGTGTGAGTGTGAGGGGGTGTGACAGGGTGTGTGTGAGTGTGTGTGAGTGGGGGTGTGACAGGGTGTGTGAGTGAGTGTGAGTGGGTGTGTGACAGGGTGTGACAGGGTGTTTGAGTGTGTGTGAGTGGGGGTGAGGGGGTGTGACAGGGTGTGTGAGTGAGTGGGGGTGTGAGGGTGAGGGGGTGTGACAGAGTGTGTGTGAGTGGGGGTGTGACAGGGTGTGTGAGTGGTTGTGAGAGTGAGTGGGGGTGTGACAGGGTGTGTGAGTGAGTGTGAGTGAGAGTGAGGATGTGTGAGTGAGTGGGGTGTGACAGGGTGTGAGTGTGAGTGAGTGGGTGTGAGAGTGAGTGGGGTGTGACAAGGTGTGTGAGTGGGTGTGTGAGTGAGTGAGTGTGAGAGTGTGAGGGGGTGTGACAGGGTGAGTGGGTGAGTGTGAGGGGGTGTGACGGTGTGAGAGTGAGGATGTGTGAGTGAGTGGGGGTGTGAGGGGGTGTGACAGGGTGTGAGTGAGTGGGTGAGTGTGAGTGAGGTTGTTGTTGATGGTGATTGTTGTTGTGGTTGTTATTGTTGTTGATTGTTGTTATTGTTGTTGATTGTTGTTGTTAATGGTTGTTGTTGGTGATTGTTGTTGTTGGTGATTGTTGTTGATGGTTGTTGTTGTTGTTGGTGGTTGTTGTTGTTGGTGATTGTTGTTGATGATTGTTGTTGTTGGTGATTGTTGTTGTTGGTGGTTGTTGGTGATTGTTGTTGGTGGTTGTTGGTGATTGTTGTTGGTGGTTGTTGTTGTTGGTGGTTGTTGTTGTTGGTGGTTGTTGTTGGTGATTGTTGTTGGTGGTTGTTGTTGTTGGTGGTTGTTGTTGTGTAGACTCGGAACCGGAAGTGCCAGCGGCTGCCCCTGGTGGTGGCGGCTCCCACAATGCACGGCGACTCCACACTGCTCACCGGCTGCCCTCCCCATGGGGACGCCAGCGACAAGAAGAAGTACTCACCAACACTCACCAACACTCACCAACACTCACCACTACTACTCACCAACACTCACCAACACTCACCAACACTCACCACTACTACTCACCAACACTCACCAACACTCACCAACACTCACCAACACTCACCACTACTACTCACCAACACTCACCAACACTCACCAACACTCACCACTACTACTCACCAACACTCACCAACACTCACCAACACTCACCAACACTCACCACTACTACTCACCAACACTCACCAACACTCACCAACACTCACCAACACTCACCACTACTACTCACCAACACTCACCAACACTCACCAACACTCACCACTACTACTCACCAACACTCACCAACACTCACCAACACTCACCAACACTCACCACTACTCACCAACACTCACCACTACTCACCACTACTCACCAACACTCACCACTACTCACCACTACTCACCAACACTCACCAACACTCACCAACACTCACCACTACTCACCAACACTCACCACTACTCACCACCACTACTCACCACTACTACTCACCAACACTCACCACTACTCACCAACACTCACCACTACTCACCAACACTCACCAACACTCACCAACACTCACCACTACTCACTCACCAACACTCACCAACACTACTCACCAACACTCACCAACACTCACCAACACTCACCACTACTCACTCACCACTACTCACCACTACTACTCACCACTACTCACCAACACTCACCACTACTACTCACCACTACTCACCACTACTACTCACCACTACTCACCACCACTACTCACCACTACTCACCACCACTACTCACCACTACTCACCAACACTCACCAACACTCACCACTACTCACCACTACTACTCACCACTACTACTCACCAACACTCACCAACACTACTCACCAACACTCACCAACACTCACCAACACTCACCAACACTCACCACTACTCACCACTACTCACCAACACTCACCAACACTACTCACCACTACTCACCACTACTCACTCACCACTACTCACCACTACTACTCACCACTACTCACCACCACTACTCACCACTACTCACCACTACTACTCACCACTACTCACCACCACTACTCACCAACACTCACCAACACTCACCACCACTACTCACCAACACTCACCAACACTCACCACTACTCACCACTACTCACCAACACTCACCACTACTACTCACCACTACTCACCAACACTCACCACTACTCACCACTACTCACCACTACTCACCAACACTCACCAACACTCACCACTACTCACCACTACTCACCAACACTCACCACTACTACTCACCACTACTCACCAACACTCACCACTACTCACCACTACTCACCACTACTCACCACTACTCACCAACACTACTCACCACTACTCACCACTACTCACCAACACTCACCACTACTACTCACCACTACTCACCAACACTCACCACTACTCACCACTACTCACCAACACTCACCAACACTACTCACCACTACTCACCAACACTCACCAACACTACTCACCACTACTCACCAACACTCACCACTACTCACCAACACTCACCAACACTCACCACTACTACTCACCACTACTCACCAACACTCACCACCAACACTCACCACTACTCACCACTACTCACCACTACTCACCAACACTCACCAACACTCACCACTACTACTCACCACTACTCACCAACACTCACCACCACTACTCACCACCACTACTCACCAACACTCACCAACACTCACCAACACTCACCACTACTACTCACCAACACTCACCAGCACTACTCACCACTACTACTCACCACTACTCACCACTACTACTCACCACCACTACTCACCAACACTCACCACCACTACTCACCACTACTCACCACCACTACTCACCAACACTCACCACCACTACTCACCACCACTCACCAACACTCACCACTACTCACTCACCACTCACCAACACTCACCACTACTCACCACTACTCACTCACCAACACTCACCACTACTCACTCACCAACACTCACCAACACTACTCACCACCACTACTCACCACTACTCACCAACACTCACCACTACTCACCACTACTACTCACCACTACTCACCAACACTCACCACCACTCACCACTACTCACCACTACTACTCACCACTACTACTCACCACTACTCACCAACACTACTCACCACTACTCACCACTACTCACTCACCACCACTACTCACCACCACTCACCAACACTCACCACTACTCACCACTACTACTCACCACTACTCACCACTACTACTCACCAACACTCACCACTACTCACCAACACTCACCACCACTCACTCACCACTACTCACCACTACTCACCAACACTCACCAACACTCACCACTACTACTCACCACTACTCACCACTACTCACCACTACTACTCACCACTACTCACCACTACTACTCACCACTACTCACCACTACTCACCAACACTCACCACCACTCACCACCACTCACTCACCACTACTCACTCACCACTACTCACTCACCACTACTCACCACTACTACTCACCAACACTCACCACCACTCACCACCACTCACCACCACTCACCACCACTCACCACCACTCAACACCACTCACCACCACTCACCACCACTCACCAACACTCACCACTACTCACCACCACTCACCACCACTCACCAACACTCACCACTACTCACCACCACTCACCAACACTCACCACTACTCACCACCACTCACCACCACTCACCACCACTCACCAACACTCACCACTACTCACCAACACTCACCACTACTCACCACCACTCACCACCACTCACCACCACTCACCAACACTCACCACCACTCACCACCACTCACCAACACTCACCACTACTCACCAACACTCACTCACCACTACTCACCACTACTCACCACTACTACTCACCACCACCACTCACCACTACTCACCACTACTCACTCACCACTACTCACCACTACTCACCACCACTCACCACCACTACTCACCACTACTACTCACCACCACTCACCACTACTCACCACTACTACTCACCACCACTCACCACTACTCACCACTACTACTCACCACTACTCACCAACACTCACCACTACTCACCACTACTCACTCACCAACACTCACCACTACTCACCACTACTCACTCACCAACACTCACCACTACTCACCACTACTCACTCACCAACACTCACCACTACTCACCACTACTCACTCACCAACACTCACCACCACTCACCACTACTCACCACTACTCACCACTACTCACCACCACTACTCACCAACACTCACCACTACTCACCACCACTACTCACCACTACTCACCACCACCACTCACCACTACTCACCAACACTCACCACTACTCACCACTACTCACTCACCAACACTCACCACTACTCACCACTACTCACTCACCACTACTCACCACTACTCACTCACCAACACTCACCACTACTCACCACCACTACTCACCACTACTCACCACTACTCACCAACACTACTCACCACTACTCACCACTACTCACCACCACTACTCACCACCACTACTCACCAACACTCACCACTACTCACTCACCACTACTCACCACTACTCACCACTACTCACTCACCACTACTCACCACTACTCACTCACCACTACTCACCACTACTCACTCACCAACACTCACCACCACTACTCACCACTACTCACCACCACTACTCACCACTACTCACCACTACTCACTCACCACTACTCACCACTACTCACCACTACTCACCACCACTACTCACCACTACTCACCAACACTCACCACTACTCACTCACCACTACTCACCACTACTCACTCACCACTACTCACCACTACTCACCACTACTCACCACACTCACCACTACTCACCACTACTCACCACCACTCACCACTACTCACCACTACTCACCACTACTCACCACCACTCACCACTACTCACCACCACTCACCACTACTCACCACTACTCACCACTACTCACCAACACTCACCACTACTCACCACTACTCACCACTACTCACTCACCACTACTCACCACTACTCACCAACACTCACCACTACTCACCAACACTCACCACTACTCACCACTACTCACCACCACTCACCACTACTCACCAACACTCACCACTACTCACTCACCACTACTCACCACTACTCACTCACCACTACTCACCACTACTCACTCACCACTACTCACCACTACTCACTCACCACTACTCACCACTACTCACCACTAGTCACCACCACTCACCACTACTCACCACTACTCACCACTACTCACCACTACTCACTCACCACTACTCACCACTACTCACCACTACTCACCACCACTCACCACTACTCACCAACACTCACCACTACTCACCACTACTCACCACTACTCACCACTACTCACCACTACTCACCAACACTCACCACTACTCACCAACACTCACCACTACTCACCACTACTCACTCACCACTACTCACCACTACTCACCACTACTCACTCACCACTACTCACCACCACTCACCACTACTCACCAACACTCACCACTACTCACCACTACTCACTCACTCACCACTACTCACCACTACTCACCACTACTCACTCACCACTACTCACCACTACTCACCACTACTCACCAACACTCACCACTACTCACTCACTCACCACTACTCACCACTACTCACCAACACTCACCAACACTCACCAACACTCACTCACTCACCACTACTCACCACCACTCACCACCACTCACTCACCACTACTCACCACTACTCACTCACCACTACTCACCACTACTCACCACTACTCACTCACCACTACTCACCACTACTCACCAACACTCACCAACACTCACTCACTCACCACTACTCACCACCACTCACCACCACTCACCACTACTCACCACCACTCACTCACCACTACTCACCACTACTCGCTCACCACTACTCACCACTACTCACCACTACTCACTCACCACTACTCACCACTACTCACCAACACTCACCAACACTCACTCACTCACCACTACTCACCACTACTCACCACTACTCACCAACACTCACCACTACTCACTCACTCACCACTACTCACCACTACTCACCACTACTCACCAACACTCACCACTACTCACTCACCACTACTCACCACTACTCACTCACCACTACTCACCACTACTCACCACTACTCACCACTACTCACCACTACTCACTCACTCACCACTACTCACCACTACTCACCACTACTCACCAACACTCACCACTACTCACCAACACTCACCACTACTCACCACTACTCACCACTACTCACCATTACTCACTCACTCACCACTACTCACCACTACTCACCACTACTCACCAACACTCACCACTACTCACCAACACTCACCACTACTCACCACTACTCACCAACACTCACCACTACTCACCACTACTCACCACCACTCACTCACTCACCACTACTCACCACTACTCACCACTACTCACCAACACTCACCACTACTCACCACTACTCACCACTACTCACTCACCACTACTCACCACTACTCACAAACACTCACCACTACTCACCACCACTCACCACTACTCACTCACCAACACTCACCACTACTCACCAACACTCACCACTACTCACTCACTCACCACTACTCACCACTACTCACCACCACTCACTCACTCACCACTACTCACCACTACTCACCACCACTCACTCACTCAGCACTACTCACCACCACTCACCACTACTCACCACTACTCACTCACTCACCACTACTCACCACTACTCACTCACTCACCACTACTCACCACCACTCACCACTACTCAGCACCACTCACCACTACTCACCACTACTCACCACCACTCACCACTACTCACCACCACTCACCACCACTCACCACTACTCACCACCACTCACCACTACTCACCACTACTCACCACCACCACTCACTCACCACTACTCACCACTACTCACTCACTCACCACTACTCACCACTACTCACCACTACTCACTCACCACTACTCACCACTACTCACTCACCACTACTCACCACTACTCACTCACTCACCACTACTCACCACTACTCACCACTACTCACTCAGCACTACTCACCACTACTCACCACTACTCACTCAGCACTACTCACCACTCACTCACTCACCACTACTCACCACTACTCACCACCACTCACCACTACTCACCACCACTACTCACCACTACTCACCACTACTCACCACCACTCACCACCACTCACCACTACTCAACACCACTCACCACTACTCACCACTACTCACCACTATGCACTACTACTCACCACTACTCACCACCACTCACTACTACTCACCACTACTCACCACTACTCACCAACACTCACCACTACTCACCACTACTCACTACTCACCACTACTCACCACCACTCACCACTACTCACCACTGCTCACCACCACTCACCACTACTCACTACTACTCACCACTACTCATTACTACTCACCACTACTCACGATGGTAACTATGGTAACGATGTTGATGATGGTAACTATGGTAACGATGTTGATGATGGTAACTATGGTATCGATGCTGATGATGGTAACTATGTTGATGATGGTAACTATGGTAACGATGCTGATGATGGTAACGATGTTGATGATGGTAACTATGGTAACGATGTTGATGATGGTAACTATGTTGATGATGGTAACAATGGTAACTATGTTGATGATGGGTACAATGGTAACTATGTTGATGATGGTAACGATGGTAATTATGGTAACGATGTTGATGATGGTAACGATGTTGGTGATGGTAACAATGGTAACTATGTTGATGATGGTAACAATGTTGATGATGGTAATGATGGTAACTATGTTGATGATGGTAACAATGGTAACTATGTTGATGATGGTAACGATGGTAACTGTGGTAACAATGTTGATGATGGTAACTATGTTGATGATGGTAATGATGGTAACTATGGTAACGATGTTGATGATGGTAACTATGTTGATGATGGTAACTATGGTAACGATGGTAACTATGGTAACTATGTTGATGATGGTAACTACGGTAACGATGTTGATGATGGTAGCTATGTTGATGATGGTAACGATGTTGATGATGGTAACGATGGTAACTATGTTGATGATGGTAATGATGGTAACTGTGGTAACGATGTTGATGATGGTAACTATGTTGATGATGGTAACTATGGTAACTATGGTAACTATGTTGATGATGGTAACGATAGTAACTATGTTGATGATGGTAACTATGTTGATGATGGTAACTATGTTGATGATGGTAACGATGGTAACTATGTTGATGATGGTAACGATGGTAACTATGTTGATGATGGTAACTATGGTAACGATGGTAACTATGGTAACGTTGCCGTTTTAGTTTCTTTGGCCGGGCTTTTGAGAAATCTGCGGAGAGTTCCGGATCCAGAACCACGCAGAAATACTTCACCCTGTCAGGTGAGACTCACACAGACTCACTCAGACTCACCTGACTCACCCTGTCAGGTGAGACTCACCTGACTCACACACACAGACTCACCTGACTCACCCTGTCAGGTGAGACTCACCTGACTCACACACACAGACTCACTTAGACTCACCTGACTCACCCTGTCAGGTGAGACTCACACAGACTCACTTAGACTCACCCTATCAGGTGAGACTCACTTAGACTCACCCTGTCAGGTGAGTCACTTAGACTCACCCTGTCAGGTGAGACTCACTTAGACTCACACAGACTCACCTGACTCACCCTGTCAGGTGAGACTCACACAGACCCACTCAGACTCACCCTGTCAGGTGAGGCTCACTTAGACTCACCCTGTCAGGTGAGACTCATTCAGACTCACCTGACTCACCTGACTCACCCTGTCAGGTGAGACTCACTTAGACTCACATAGACTCACCTGACTCACCCTGTCAGGTGAGACTCACACAGACTCACTCTTACTTAGACTCACCCTGTCAGGTGAGACTCACTTAGACTCACTTAGACTCACCCTGCCAGGTGAGACACACATAGACTCACTTAGACTCACCCTGTCAGGTGAGACACACTTAGACTCACACACACTCACCTGACTCACTCACTTAGACTCACCCTGTCAGGTGAGACTCACATAGACTCACTTAGACTCACTCTGTCAGGTGAGACTCACTTAGACTCACACTTACTTAGACTCACCTGACTCACTCACTTAGACTCACTCTGTCAGGTGAGACTCACCTGACTCACTCACTTAGACTCACTCTGTCAGGTGAGACTCACCTGACTCACTCACTTAGACTCACTCTGTCAGGTGAGACTCACCTGACTCACTCACTTAGACTCACTCTGTCAGGTGAGACTCACCTGACTCACCCTGTCAGGTGAGGCTCACATAGACTCACACAGACTCACCTGACTCACTCACTTAGACTCACCCTGTCAGGTGAGGCTCACTTAGACTCACCCTGTCAGGTGAGACTCACTTAGACTCACTCTTACTTAGACTCACCCTGTCAGGTGAGACTCACTTAGACTCACTCACTTAGACTCACCCTGTCAGGTGAGACACACTTAGACTCACTCTTACTTAGACTCACTCTGTCAGGTGAGACTCACCTGACTCACTCTTACTTAGACTCACCTGACGCACTCACTTAGACTCACTCTGTCAGGTGAGACTCACCTGACTCACCTGACTCACTCACTTAGACTCACCTGACTCACACAGACTCACACTCACTTAGACTCACCTGACTCACTCACTTAGACTCACTCTGTCAGGTGAGACTCACCTGACTCACTCACTTAGACTCACCCTGTCATAGTTTCATAGTTATCATAGTTTATTTATTTGGTATAGCCCTGTGAGCCATTCGGCTCTTGAATCGGGTGCAACCTCAACAAACAAAAAACATGAACAAGAAAACATCTTAAAGTGATTACTTTGTGTGTGACTGTGCAAACAGAAAATCCAGGAAAAAAACAATAAAAATATCCCTGAAATAGCACCGTACCGTACACCAACGCTGTGTGCAACAATCCCAGTGGGATGCAAGTCAAAATAACAACAACAACAACCACAAGACAACTAAGATTAAGGCCATCAGTCTAACTCCGTACTACAATAAGCAAAAACATGGCCAAAAACAAAAAAATAAACGTTTTCGAAGTCACCAAAATAAAAGCCATAAATGCAATGTAACAGTGATCATAAGGGACTGTGACCGAATTTTTAACAATAAACTGCGTAAATAAATTATAACACCAAAATCTAGAGCCATATTTTCGGCCACTGAATAGCAGTGGCAGCTAGGGGTGTACAACTCCTCTAGAGCAGTGTTGAGTGACGATCTCATAGGTAGTGATTCAAGTTGAAGTTTATTGGCAATAGCATTCCAGACCCACATGCACATGTACAGTCAATCCACTGCTCAATGACGGGTGCCTCATGCCAGTTGGGTCCTGGGGCTTATCTGACCATACATCACCACTGTGTGAAGCTAGTGCACAGAACTGACTCAGATACCACTCCCCACTGAGGTTAGCCACGGCTGGGATTGAAACTCAGGTGAGTGAGTCAGGTGGGACTCACCTGACTCACTCACTTAGACTCACCTGACTCACTCACTTAGACTCACTCTGTCAGGTGACACTCACCTGACTCACTCACTTAGACTCACTTAGACTCACCCTGTCAGGTGAGACTCACTTAGACTCACTCTTACTTAGACTCACCTGACTCACTCACTTAGACTCACTCTGTCAGGTGAGACTCACTTAGACTCACCCTGTCAGGTGAGACTCACTTAGACTCACTCTTACTTAGACTCACCTGACTCACTCACTTAGACTCACTCTGTCAGGTGGGACTCACCTGACTCACCTGACTCACCTGACTCACTCACTTAGACTCACCTGACTCACACAGACTCACACTCACTAAGACTCACCTGACTCACTTAGACTCACCTGACTCACTCACTTAGACTCACACTTACTTAGACTCACCCTGTCAGGTGAGACCCTGACTCACTCTTACTTAGACTCACCTGACTCACTTAGACTCACCTGACTCACACTCACTTAGACTCACCTGACTCACTCACTTAGACTCACCTGACTCACTCACTTAGACTCACCCTGTCAGGTGAGACTCACTTAGACTCACTCTTACTTAGACTCACCTGACTCACTCACTTAGACTCACTCTGTCAGGTGGGACTCACCTGACTCACCAGACTCACTCACTTAGACTCACCTGACTCACACAGACTCACACTCACTAAGACTCACCTGACTCACTTAGACTCACTCTTACGTAGACTCACTTACTTAGACTCACCTGACTCACTCACTTAGACTCACACTTACTTAGACTCACCCTGTCAGGTGAGACCCTGACTCACTCTTACTTAGACTCACCTGACTCACTTAGACTCACCTGACTCACACTCACTTAGACTCACCTGACTCACTCACTTAGACTCACCTGACTCACTCACTTAGACTCACCCTGTCAGGTGAGACTCACCTGACTCACTCACTTAGACTCACCCTATCAGGTGAGACTCACTTAGACTCACCCTGTCAGGTGAGACTCACTTAGACTCACTCTTACTTAGACTCACCTGACTCACTCACTTAGACTCACTCTGTCAGGTGGGACTCACCTGACTCACCTGACTCACCAGACTCACTCACTTAGACTCACCTGACTCACACAGACTCACACTCACTAAGACTCACCTGACTCACTTAGACTCACTCTTACGTAGACTCACTTACTTAGACTCACCTGACTCACTCACTTAGACTCACACTTACTTAGACTCACCCTGTCAGGTGAGACCCTGACTCACTCTTACTTAGACTCACCTGACTCACTTAGACTCACCTGACTCACACTCACTTAGACTCACCTGACTCACTCACTTAGACTCACTTAGACTCACTTAGACTCACCTGACTCACCTGACTCACACTCACTTAGACTCACTTAGACTCACCTGACTCACCCTGTCAGGTGAGCCTCACTTAGACTCACCCTGTCAGGTGAGACACACTTAGACTCACTCTTACTTAGACTCACTCTGTCAGGTGAGACTCACCTGACTCACTCTTACTTAGACTCACCTGACGCACTCACTTAGACTCACTCTGTCAGGTGAGACTCACCTGACTCACCTGACTCACTCACTTAGACTCACCTGACTCACACAGACTCACACTCACTTAGACTCACCTGACTCACTCACTTAGACTCACTCTGTCAGGTGAGACTCACCTGACTCACTCACTTAGACTCACCCTGGCATAGTGTCATAGTTATCATAGTTTATTTATTTGGTATAGCCCTGTGAGCCATTCGCCTCTTGAATCGGGTGCATCCTCAACAAACAAAAAACATGAACAAGAAAACATCTTAAAGTGATTACTTTGTGTGCAAACAGAAAATCCAGGAAAAAAACAATAAAAATATCCCTGAAATAGCACCGTACCGTACACCAATGCTGTGTGCAAAAATCCCAGTGGGATGCAAGTAAAATAACAACAACAACAACCACAAGACAACTAAGATTAAGGCCATCAGTCTAACTCCGTACTACAACAAACAAAAACATGGCCAAAAACAAAAAATAAACGTTTTCGAAATCACCAAAATAAAAGCCATAAATGCAATGTAACAGTGATCATAAGGGACTGTGACCGAATTTTTTAACAATAAACTACGTAAATAAATTATAACACCAAAATCTAGAGGCATATTTTCGGCCACTGAATAGCAGTGGCAGCTAGGGGTGTACAACTCCTCTAGAGCAGTGTTGAGTGACGATCTCATAGGTAGTGATTCAAGTTGAAGTTTATTGGCAATAGCATTCCAGACCCACATGCACATGTACAGTCAATCCACTGCTCAATGACGGGTGCCTCATGCCAGTTGGGTCCTGGGGCTTATCTGACCATACATCACCACTGTGTGAAGCTAGTGCACAGAACTGACTCAGATACCACTCCCCACTGAGGTTAGCCACGGCTGGGATTGAAACTCAGGTGAGTGAGTCAGGTGGGACTCACCTGACTCACTCACTTAGACTCACTTAGACTCACCCTGTCAGGTGAGACTCACCTGACTCACTCACTTAGACTCACCTGACTCACTCACTTAGGCTCACCTGACTCACTCACTTAGACTCACTCTGTCAGGTGACACTCACCTGACTCACTCACTTAGACTCACTTAGACTCACCCTGTCAGGTGAGACTCACTTAGACTCACTCTTACTTAGACTCACCTGACTCACTCACTTAGACTCACTCTGTCAGGTGAGACTCACTTAGACTCACCCTGTCAGGTGAGACTCACTTAGACTCACTCTTACTTAGACTCACCTGACTCACTCACTTAGACTCACTCTGTCAGGTGGGACTCACCTGACTCACCTGACTCACCTGACTCACTCACTTAGAC